CAGAAACTCATATAAAGACAGTTGAGGGAAATTTGATATATTCAGTTACTGAGATGCTGTCAAAAACAAGACTTTGAGGGAGTTAAGCAGGGACTCACTCAGCAGAAAGAATGGACTCTGCCCCTCTTGAGACTGAAGACCTGGCATTAGGGCTAGAATGTTAGAGAAGTTTCCTGCAAGTGGAGTATTTGTTGACATTCCCCTAACTGTGTGTTTGGTTGTTATTTTCTGTAGGAAAACAACAACCTGTAAGAAATTTTCTGACAGTTAGAACAGTCAACCAATGGCTTGCCTTCGGAATTGTGGGAACTTAATCACTGGCTTTCAAGAAGAGACTGGACTGCCATCTGTCATAAATGGTGTAGACTCTGCTTATAGGAAGCTCCCTGTGAAGGTCACACATGGTGACTACCTGAACCCAGGATGCTGCAACCATTAAAGATAGATGTTTGAAGGGCTGCCACAGAGAGGAGAGATTCACCTATTTTCCAAAGCACCTGAAGGCCAGACAAGGAATAATGGATGGAAATTGACCAAGGAGAGATTCAACCTAGAAATAAAGAGACATTTTCTGACAGTGAGAACAATCAACCAACGGAACAGCTTGCCTTCAGAAGTTGTGGGAGCTTCATCCCTGGAAGCTTTCAAGAAGAGACTGGATTGCCATCTGTCAGAAATGCGTAGGGTCTCCTGCTTGGATGAGGGGTTGGACTAGATGACTTACAGTGCAAGGTCCCTTCCAACTCTGTTAATCTGTTAACCTGTCAAAATTATGTTCCTTCTCCAACCCTCATCTATTTTACAGAGAATGACTAACAGATTATATTCTTGTCTGCAGAGAAATCCACTAATTGCTGCACCTTAACCTGCAGTAGAGGCTTAGAAAAACACTCCAGTTCTTTACCAGTTTTTTTAAATAAGCCAAGTAGAGACTGGCTGTCAAATTTATGTTGGCATACTTGGTGACATTTCCCAAATAATTTTGCCCTTGGACTAATCCCTCTTCATCGTATCTTTGAAAACCTTGACCTCTGTTTGCTAGCTTTCACTCTCTATTTACAGCCCTTAAGCTCTGTTCTGGTGAGATGAAAATAAATACATTTGAATTAAATATAACAGGCAGCTTAACTCGTTACGGCCCAATGTACAATCCAAAATAGGTGCACTGTTTTACGTCAATACAATACAATACAATACAATAGCAGAGTTGGAAGGGACCTTGGAGGTCTTCTAGTCCAACCCCCTGCCTAGGCAGGAAACTCTATACCATTTCAGACAAATGGCTATCCAACATCTTCTTAAAGACTTCCAGTGTTGGGGCATTCAAACTTCTGGAGGCAAGCTGTTCCACTGATTAATTGTTCTAACTGTCAGGAAATTTCTCCTCAGTTCTAAGTTGCTTCTCTTATTGATTAGTTTCCACCCATTGCTTCTTGTTCTACCTTCAGGTGCCTTGGAGAATAGTTTGACTCCCTCTTCTTTGTGGCAACCTCTGAGATATTGGAACACTGGTATAATGTCTCCCCTAGTCTTTCTTTCTATTAAACTACACATACCCAGTTCCTGCAACCGTTCTTCATATGTTTTAGTCTCCAGTCCCCTAATCATCCTTGTTGCTCTTCTCTGCACACTTTCTAGAGTCTCCACATTTCTCCACATTTTTTCTACATCGTGGTGACCAAAACTGAATGCATCAAGGATAAGCTATCAAGGATAAGTTAAAGGGATTAATTTAGGTACAGCAAAATGCAAAAAAAGATGTTTTCAATTCAAAATGGATGCTGACTGCAGAGAGAAGGAAGATGACGAAATGAGAGGCAGTCCATATGGACTGCAAGGAATGATAAGGTAAACCAGGCCAGAAAAAGGATGGAGAATATGTTTTTTGGAATTCTTCAGCAGTGGCCATAAGAGACCCTCATTTTTCTGTGTAACAAAGTAATCTGTTTCACATTGCCAGGAGTTCAATTCCTTAGATTCTGACCAGCTTCCATCCTTCTGAGGTTGGCAAAATGAGGACGCAGATTGTCCTCAATATGCTGACTCTGTAAACTATTTGGGAAGGGCTGTAAAGCACTATGAAGTGCTATATAAGTCTAAATGCTATTGCTATCTCTCTATCTAATATCACAGTGCCAAAATAGAACCTATAATAGAAACCTTGCTGATTTCCTGGCTGAGAAAATGAAACAAAAAATATATCTATAATCTAGATATATTTTTATAAGATTTTAGATTTCGTATTTTGTGTTATTATCTCTTATTTTTATCTCTTGTTTTTATCAAAATGCGATGTGAATGTGTCATATAATAAATAAAGAATAATAATCTGGATACATGTTGTCTCTATGTTTGGGTCAATAAGTAAGATACATGCAGATCAGTGGTGGGTTCCTACTGATTCGGACCGGTAGTGGTTTGATGGCCTGAGTCACTGGAACGGGAAGTGACCCAGGTCTGCCACACCTCAGAACTGGTTCTCTGGGCAGTGCCATAGGCACCGCCACCTTGTTTTTTGCTTCTGCGCATGCACAGAACAATTTTTATTGCACTGTGCATGCATGCACAGCACGCATCAAGCATGCGGCATGCCCATGAGTGAACGGGCGGTAGTGACTGCCAGAACCCACCCCTGGTGCAGATGTGATGCTTTTGTGTGTATGTGTTGGTCTCTGTGTCTCTGTATTTTCACCCCACATACACAAACTGATTCATTTCTGCTTACTTTCCAAAGATGAATCCTGCTAAGGGAGAAGACAGAGTCTAAGTCCCTTCACATAATTTCTTTTCAATATTCATTTGGGTTGGAAAGAATAAAAAGATTTTTTATCTTTCTAATGAAGGATTCCCCAAGTATCTGGGGCCTGAAGAGAACTTTGGCTAAGTGCCAAAGGATTTTAGCATTTAAGCAAATGCTTATAGTTTTTGGCATGAGTAGGCTAAAACAGAAGCAGTCTTGTAGCATCTCGTCATACAAACAATTGTTCTTAAATGGCATATGTTGGTCAAAAAAAAGTATGCCTTTTTCAAATGTAAATATTAATCTGAAAAGATTAATCAGACTTTTTTCTGATTTTTAGCTACCAGAAACTAATATGGTCCTCCTTCTGGAATGTTTGTCATGAATAGGGCAATTACTGTTAAGTATGAGAAGGCAGAATAAAGGATTGGAGTAATATGTTGAATAACACTTGGGGCACAACATCTTAGATGGGACAAAACTGTCATCTATTCAAATTATTATGAAAAAATTATACCACCTCAGAATACTTACAGCACAGCTCTTTGCAGTGACTTGGCACTTTGTCCAAACAGACAAATTACTGAAAATCTTAAACTTACATTTAAGTATAGCAAAGTCTTTCTTCAAACTAAATGTCTATGGAGATTCTCAGTCATCCAGGCCATGGTTGTTCCAAAAGTCCTTTTTCAAGAGGCAACTAGAGTTTCTTGTTTTTCTTTGAAGGTGTTTCACTTCTCATCCAAGAAGTTTCTTCACCTCAGCTTTAGAGTTTTATTGTTGAAGAAGCTTCTTGGATGAGAAGTGAAACATCTTCAAAGAAAAAAAGAAACTCCAGTTGCCTCTTGAAAAAGCATCTTTGGGTCATTCCTCAAGCTTGTACAGATAGAGAAGCTACATTGCCTACTGGCTCCATTTCAGATATGAAGGGAAGAAGGTCTTCGTGGCAGGCAGACACAACACCCTTTGCAATTCCTTAAGCCCTTTTCTCAGAATCCTCCTGCAGATACAGATGTGAAAGGTAACAGAGAAAAGACACTGCTGCTTTAAGGAGTTTCAGGCTACATGAATTTTACCTTGGAAACTCTGAAGGACTGATCTAGTGTCTACTCATAACAGAGACTTTAAAAGTCTGTTTGAGTGAAGTTAGCCTGGAGTGGAATTTATCTGTTGCATTTATAGTAGATTTATCTGTTGAAGCCACACAAAGGAGGGGCATCTAAAATCTCCCTCTCCCTCTCCTTCCCTCCCTCCCTCCCTCCCTCCCTCTCTCCTTATCTAGCTATCTATCTACCTTCCATTTATCATCTACCATTTACCTACCTACTGGTACCATTAATACAGTTTTAGTACTCTGAGTGGCTTACAAAATATTAAAACCAAGAAGTGGGGGAGGGAAACACAATTTTAAACAATATATAGAAAAGTAACACTTTACAGCGTCATGAAAGCCTTCATATTTAGTATATTTGCATAGATGTGCAAGGAGGTAAAAGTGAAGCTCTGTGTTCTGGAATTGTAGTGGAGAAAATATTGGACTTTTTGCTTTGTTAAATAAGATGGGCCAAAAGAACCTAAAGATACTATCAAAAAGATTCCTGGCCAGGTGTTCCTAGAAGGTTGATGTGTGAAATCAGAGTCAGTGGAAAGGGCTACAGAAAAGAGGGAGGAGAGAAAGAAAACAAATTGAATGACCAAAAGAAAATAAGGAGCTGAAATATTAGGGAGGAGAGAGGGACAGAGAGAAGAATGGAAACAATGGAAGGACAAAAGAGGACAAAACAGGTCCTCCTACCAGGCTGAGAAACTGCTCACTTTGATCTCTAGAAGATGTTGCAAAATGGCTTTTATAGAATTAGAAACATAGAAATGCAGAAAAACCCATAGTGGCCCATTGAGTGTGCCCTTTGGGGATTTTTTGTTTTTTGTTTTCAGTGTTATTGTTTGTTTTCATAAATTTATCATTGTTTGAACTATTTTTATTTTATTTTTTAATTTTTGTCAGATGCTAGACATGTGTTTGTGCCCATGCATGTTTAAACTCAGTTACTGACGATTGACCCTTTGCCTCCGCTGGAAGTTGCTTCCGAGTTTCCACTACTCCTTCCGTGAAGTAGTACTTTCTAACATTACTTTTGAACTTCCCTTCTGTCAGCCCCCTGGTGCCTGGTTTTTCCTTAAAATTGAAAATACTGCCTTGTTCTAGAAACTTATTCACACCCTTAATATATGTAAAGGTTACATTATACCACCCCCCACCCTTCCCCTTTTGTCTTCTGTCCTCCCGGTTATACATATTTGGTTCCTCCAATCTCTCCTGATATGTTTTGTCCCTCAGACCTTTTTTGCTTCCCAAATTGTCAACCAACATCAGCCTAGAAAACTCCAGAAATGCAGGTAGGGGATAATGGGAAGTGTGCTGCATTGGATGAGGATGATGGAAGTTATAATTCAGGGTATCTGGAAAACACCTTCAGGAAGCCTGTTCAGTCAGAGAGGTTTTCCTTTTCTCCCTGTCTCTCTGTCTCTCTCACACACATACACATCTCTACCACCCCCAATAGCTCCTCCAGTGGTCTATTAAACAAGACCTGTCAGAGCTAGTAACCAGCATTTGGTTAAGGCGTGTGCCTGCCTTCCAGAAGAGCTCCTTTCCCCTTTATATTATTTACAGGTGAAATAGGAATGGTGTTGTTTGCCGATCTGCTTGCTTAATTGACTGAAGGCAGCTAAAGATCAAATGCAAGAGAAGGATGGCAATATTTGGTGTATTAATACCTGTCTTCCTGATTTGCTCTCCTCTTGGTGACTCCTGCCGGACCCCTGATGACTTTGTGGGTGCCAGTTCTCCTGGAGATATTGTCATTGGAGGCTTGTTTGCTATTCATGGCAAAATGTTACATTCTGGAGAGAAGCCCCTCAAACCTATGATTGCCAGTTGTGCTGGGTGAGTAACAACAGCAGCTCTCTGCCATAGAACTGTTACGAGGAAAATGACATGAAAGTGAATGGGGCTACTCAAAAGGGGGAGAGGACTGGAAATTTAGTTGATTTTTAAACAATTCTTACTTAAAAGATGGGGTTTGATCTGTCAGTTGAGGTAAAGGGACTGCATGACTAGAGGACTGTTATATTACTATAGGCAGATAAAATCTAGTACCAGGGATTAGGGAGAGCTTCAACATCTATCTTACTCAGATGTTATAAAATAAAAATTAATGGAGTTTATCTGTATGTTAACATTGTAGAATTGTGCTGTAAAACTAAGCTGTAAAATACTGTATTGCATTGATCCATTGAATTCACCCAAACTTATTTCTGAGTACTGATGCAGAAAGAAGGACTGTATGTTGTTAATTTATATCTCTTTTGCAGTATATGATTAATTATTGCAAATTTTAACATTTAGATCCATGACACAGTAATATGACTTTAAACACATTATGGGACCAGAATCTAACCCAAGTATACAGTATCCTTTGGGCTGCAGCGTTGTACATAACTTTTTTTAAAAAAAAATATGGAAATAGAAACTTTTAGATAATGATTCAGATGTAATCACATTGAGAGATTTGGGATTTGATATCAGATCTAAAAATGATTAAGGTACTAGATCTGGACTGTAATAATCTGGACAATCACTAGATAGCATCAAAGAAGTACATCAATTTCTAGCTCTTTACTGCCACCCAGTGGTCATGCAGAATTTTGCTGCACAAATCGATTAGCTCCAATGGATACAGTCCATTAATTTTATCATTCTTGCTCAAGAATTTATACCTAAGACCAACTTTTATATTATATATTAATAGTGAAGCAAGCTATCATCACTACCTATCAGACAGCATTTTCAAAGTGCAACTCAAAGGGTAATTAAATTATCTTCCTGCCTTTATTCATAACAACTTTTCCCCCAACTCAAGAAATACCAAATTTGGCCAGATGATCACTAGACAGCAGCAAAGAAATACAGAAAATATTGAAGCTTGATTGCCATATTGTGTAGAACCACAATTTTGCAGCCCAGATCTAAAAGTCCTATCCAAATTTATGTGTACCCAATATATGGAATTGGAATTCTCAGGCAGCATGGCCTACGATCCTCTGGGTTGGACAACCCCTGTGACATTTAGAAGTCACTAAGCTAAGGAAAACATTGCTGGATTAATGCAATTAGCAATAGCACTTAGACTTACGGCATATACCAGTGGTGGGATTCAATTTTTTTTTTTTACTATAGGTTCTCTGGGTGTGGCTTGATGCACATGGCAGGGGAAGGATACTGTAAAATCCCCATTTCCTCCCGATCAGCTGAGACTTGGGAGGCAGAGAATAGATGGGGGCAGGGCCAGTCAGAGGTAGTATTTACCGGTTCTAAGAATTACTCATAATTTCCGCTACCATTCTCCAGAACTGGTCAGAAGCTGCTGAATACCATCTCTGGTATATACCATTTTATAATGCTTTACAACACTTTCTGAGAGATTTATAATGTCAGCATATTGCTTCCAATAATCTGGGTCCTTATTTTGCTGAACTCAAAAGGATGGAAGGCTGAGACCGCCAGAATTTAACTCCTGACTGTGAACAGTGAGTTAGCCTGCAATAATTCATTCTAACCATGACAGACCATTTTTCTGAGACGTAGGTGCCTTTGTCAGTCTGGGAGATATGGGTAGAAAAGAGTTAATGAGGTCAGCAGGACAGTTATAGTTTTTCAAGAACCCATAACAGTTACCAAGATATTTTACCATAGATATCAACGGCAGTAAAAAAAAAAAAAAGTGAGTTATGCCCATTTTTCACACTTACAACTGTTGCAGCATCCCCATGGTCATGTGATCAAAATTCAGACACTTGGCAGCTGATTCATATTTAGGACGGTTGCAGTGTCTTGGTGTCATGTGATCCTCTTTGGCGAACTTCTGATAAGCAAAGCCAATGAGAAAGCCAGTTTCACTTAACAACCCCGTCACTAATTTAACAACTACAGTGATTCACTTAACAGCTGTGACTGGAATGCTCGTAAACTGGGGCAAAGTTCACTGAACAAATGTCTCACATAGCAACAAAGACTTTGGGCTCTATTGTGGCTGTAAATCAAGGACTACCTGTACTTCTATTGGCAATGTTGAGATAATTATCCCAACTCTGACACTTCTAAAGAACTGAATCATTAAAGAGAAACTTGTGCAGAGATCCTAGGTACACACCTAAGATCACACATAGGCTTCACCTACCAACACCTACACTATTCTCCAGTATCATGTCCAAAGGATAAATGCTACTGTCCCCCAAAAGAAGTTTCTTGCCTTGTCTTAAAGGACCTTGGAAAGAAGGCTAGGAAATGGTAAGGTTCTTAACCGTCTTCCTCCAGGCAATGGAATGGAATGGAATGGAATGGAATGGAATAGAATAGAATAGAATAGAATAGAATAGAATAGAATAGAAT